CTACCTCTCTTGTTTGTATCAAGACTTATTCTCCCATAAAAAAATCCCATCCTACAGTTACTCACCCGTAATACATATTTTAATGCTTACAAACAATATTTTGCACATAAGACAGTCTACCATTATTAGTATCTAATTACACATAATTTTATTTTTTATTTTCTTCTATGATACACCCTTTCAAAAGGAAGTATTTTGTTGTTCCTAAAATCATCTTGGTACATCTTCGTTAACCCTTCGAACTATTGCTGGAATGTAATCAAACCAGCTGCAGCATCCAGCTCTTCTACTAATCTGTTATGAGACCAATGACTGGGATCTCTTTACTGGTCGATTCAACATGAAGTCTTGTCACAAATTTGCGGCTTCTTTACCAGACTTCATTCCTTCTAGCTATCTTAGAACTTGAGGATTTAGGGATCATTAGAACCTATCAATCTCTAGAATGAAGTAATACTGTTTGATCTCTGATGATCTTATTAATGCACAGCCCTAGGCAAATTTTCCTATTCACAGATGCTCTCATTCCTAAACAGCATTAGACATAAATTCTGTATTCATCTGACTTCCTAATAATGGAAATATATAATTCCCAATTAATCCAATTTCCTAGTTTAATTCCTAACCCACTAAGACCAGAATAGCTCAAGGAGCGTCTGGGTTTTTCTTCATTTTCGTGGGTATCGTATGTGCTCTAGATCCCTAAAATCAGCGGAAGGGTGAAACTAATTCTCACGTGGATCTGTCAAACTAGTAAAACAACACAACTGTAACAAACCATAACTCCAATAAAGTAAAATACCAAATGATTAGTTAACAAAGAAATAGCATTATTTCTCAAGTTGCAAAATTGAGAAAAACAACAACAATTTCACTTCCAGTAGTATGCACGTTTTCTTTCATGAAGTCGCTTTTCATATTATCTAATATAACAAGAAAGCATCTAAACATGTAACTGGCATTTTGCTAGTTAGAAGCAAACATTACTATATTATTCCAGCAGCCAATCCTTTTTGGCATTCTAAATCTTCAAAGATTGTCTTCCTCTTTCAGACAGGATGACTTTCTTGCCTTCTCTTTGGGCCAAGGTTCATAGATGTTTTAGAGGTGTCTCTTTGACCTTGTTATTAAGGACTCTGTTGCAGTTTTGTATTGAGTTTTCCTTTGTTTTTCTTTTCTTTTTTCCCCTCATTCTGCTTGGAGACCAGTTAAGGATGTCTTATCCTCTTCACTTCTACTTTCTTCTTTTCTTTTTCTATTCATAGTACTTCTTTCATCTTAGAAAAAAGGATGTAGTTCCTGACTTACCTCTTCTGGAACAATTGGAGAAGCGCATTCCGGGAAACTACTAGCAACACCAAGCCATGCACAACAATGCTGAGGACGCCCTTCTGGTCCAAACATAGTGTTTCTAAAAACCTTTTACAGCAACTCATATGAGAATGACAGATATGTTTAAGATATCCTAAAGTAAAGATTAGATGGCAAGGGGTAAGGGAAGCATACCGCAGTAAGGTGCTGGTGATAGAAATAAAGCTTTTTAAGACTTCCATGTTTCGATAATTGAGACTCCAGTTCATCAACGCATCTGAAATATATTAAGATATTTTACTGCAGTATCTTTGCTTTAGCCAAGTGCTCAGTGAGATTTCGTTCATCAAACTTTGATGCTTGCATGAATTCAATATTTAAATGAATTTTAAATGAACTGCATTTCAAGACTGCACTGTAAGAGCAGATATCATATTAGAATAACACACGGACAATACACCTTACATGGTTATACACAAATAGATTGCATTAGAGGTGACAAAGTGGTTTCAGGCTTTTGTATGTACATCAAATGCTTTTCTTTTTTTCTTTCCTATTGAGAATTGACTCAAAGTTAAAACTGATTATGCTTTACCATGCATGCCTAACACTTTTCTCCTACCAAAGAGTAAAGTTCGTCTTATCCTCAACAATGTACATTTAGGCCAATATGCTTAAAAATATCGTAAATAAGCTAATTCTTGATATTTAAATTATTTTAGGTAAATGACAATTTATTTATGTGGTGAGGAAACATTTATATTAAATTAGGGATTATCACCATCTACATGTGAGGATCAGGGATGAATTGAAAATTTTCTTTTTAATATTACAGAATATTATCACTGGCCTCAGATACCCCATTTAGAGACACCTCACCATTGAGTGCTCCTAGACTTTCATTTCCACTGGTAAAAGTGGTCATAGATAAGCGGGCCCCATTTAGTTACTTTTTTTATTATTGAGATCAAGATCTCCACTCTTAATAAACTTTCTCTAAATAATGTGTTCAAGCTCTCTTTATCTTCACATCACCATAACTTATCCCTCAAGTATAAGAGAAGACACTAGGACAAATCAAGGCTGCGTAAGATTCACCACCTAAACTTCATATAAATTTCTAACTCAATTTTTCACCTTTCTTCAAGGTCCTTATTTTTTAGTCCATGACACGTGCAATGGGAGATAACCCTCTTCATTCTCCTCCCTTTCCATTCGGGTGTGAAGTGTTTTATCCTTAGTCATACACTAAAAGAGGCTTTTACCGATTAAACTAAATGATACGTACTTCAAGGTGTGCTGCTGATATAATGTAAACGCATTTCTCTGTCATTGTAAATGCAGATTGATTTGGGCAAATATAGTTTAGAGAAGTTAATGCAATCATAATCCACAGTTCTCAGATGACAAATTGAAGTAGAAGAGTTCACCTGGACCAATTGTATGCAGAATTTCCTTCAGACAGTAACCCTTCCTTCCCAGTTGAGACAGTAGCTTTTTCCAGGTGCCTTATGTTTATAGATGAACGAGCAGATGTAACAATCATCAAAATTGACAACCAATCCTTTCGGAAATCCTGAGTAACAATCATAAATCACAATTTATTCAAGAATATACTAATACATAAGCCAATATAGATTAGATCTATAAGAACAAGAATGAAGGGGTTAACCCACTAAAAACAAACATGAGACTAAAGAAAAAAAGAAAAACAACTAGGCCTAACTTATTAAGAACGAGATTTGGTGTAATATCTTCAAAAGCAAACTTAGTGCACACGGATGACAAGGTCATTCAAGATAAGGGAAAATCTATTAGTGAGTAAAGATGCTTATCCCAAATCTCTCCTTGCAGGGTTTTCAATCTTAGAAAAACTCACCCACAAAATCCTCAAACCATAAATAATAAGCAAGTTTCGATAATAAGAGCAACCAAGTAAAATAGGAATATAAAAAATGAAATAACAATGATAGAGAAAGAAATGGAAGTGCACATACATGCACTAGTGAGTGCAGACAAATCATGTATAAGAAACTAACAGAAGAAGACATCGGTTAAAATCAATTGCCCCCATCACAACTTTCATGCATCATTAACTCTTCAATCGTAGTTATGCTGCGAAAAAAAATGTAGACACCATGTTGCATGAAAGTAAATACACAGAAAATAAACAAATAAAAATTTCAATTTTAAAAAGCCAGCCTCCGAAGGTAGGTGTCAGTTGATTGACAACCTTTTAAAATTATGAATAATGAACCAGTATCATGAACCAGAAACTTCTGTGCCATTAAGGTGGCCAACACTAATATCATTGTGATATAACGACATGTATAACCACCATGCATTCAGTTCAGATCTTAGAAACCTTCACCAAGGCAGCTAATGTACATATATGACAATACATTAAACAAATTTCTTACTGATAGATCGCACGTAATAGCGGAAATGTTTTCACCCTGTGGTTTGGGTATGTTTTCAAGATGCAGTACAATTTTTTGGAGAAGTCCTTTCAAGCTTGCATCAAGGTCAAGGGCCACGATTCCAGGAGTTCCGAGCAAAAAACGAATTCTACCAGCACATGAAGAGAGATATGATAGTGCATAACCTCGGATTGCTGCATTTAAACATGAAGAACTCTCTATAACCAGTCATGAGATGTAAAATTTATTGTGAATTAACAAAGAAAACTTCATCTCTACCAACTGAACAGCAAGTAAAAAGGTAACTCAAAGGTTAAGGTCCATACAACTTGACTAGCAAAAAAATACAGGTATTTTATTAGTTTAGTATCTGTTACACAAATTGGCTTTTCTCTAACTCTTCAGTAGCCTCTTCTTCATACCAGTTTCACATCAATAAGTAAACAGTTTAACTAACTATTTCCTCATATCAGAAACAGTGAAAGCTCAGGTATCACAAGAACTTTACTGTCAATTGGTGGTAGTAATTAGATTAGAGCACATGCTTCCCTTCCACAAATATCGAACAAGCACAATGATCTAGAGCATGTATTGATCAAGACATCAGATGAGTTTGCATTGGAACCAGCAACCTTAAAGTAACTGGGATCTTGTTTTCTATGGTTTTCAGCCATTAGTCATCAAACTCTTTTGACGGGGAAAAGAGGAGGTATATTTCTCTCTTAGACAGGAGCTTACACATTTTATTTTGAGGGCGTGCTAGGAAGGGAATCCATGATTTTTAATAGAAGAAAGAAATATGTCTGTCAATTTAATAAATAATCTTTCTTTCTCTAACGACCATCATCTCTCCTCTTTTCTGAGCACAAGCTTGCAGTTGCCCCCTCATTCTCTCTTTGGGTATGCATATTCTTAACTCCTTCCTACCCCCTCACCTGCAATATACTTGCGCACCAGACAGCAAAGTTGATCCATTCCATCTAGCAAGAACCCAATAGTTGGATCACTTGGATCCTACAAAAGAGAAAAGTCATATGAATTTTAAGTTAAAATAGTAGGCTTAAAGGACTTGAATCAAAAAATTAACCCAACCATGACGAGAAACTAAAGCAGCATCGGGGTGAGACAAGAGATGAGCTTGGCTAATTGACTTACTATATCAACTGGTATAATTCTAGTAGCCCTTGATTTCGATGATGCAATTCCAACATGTTGGAAGTACCAGATGACCTCAGATTGAGCTAGTGCCAAGCAGAAATACCATTTTGTAGGAAACATCGAATCATTAGAGAAAACTGCATGGAAAGGGGAATTACTTTA